ACCACATTGAAGTCCACATGTTTGCGTAATAAATACTATTTTTGCTTAATACTTCATTTATTTAATTTAAAGGAAATTATTAAATGTTGGTTGCAAATTTCGAGTTTTAAATTAGGGTTCGAGTTTTAAATTAATTTATTAATCAAAACGAGCAGTCAAGCCCACACTGACACTTGACGGCTACTCGAACTGACACTTGACAGTTGTTTTGACTAAACTGTCAAAAGCATCCATAGAAACGGCAATGTCCGATACTTCCGAACGGCTCAATATCTCGATCATTCAACAACAAACGCAAATAAAACTGAACCGGTTGAAGATGGGTGTAGAACATGTCATACCAAATTTACTACAAACTTCTGGCAGGATCAAAAAATGACATAAAATTAGTTGGTTTCCATTTGAAAATAAAAAGTGTGACGTAGTATCTTGTTTATGAAACACCCTGTATAATGCAGTGATGGTCAGCAAGACGCCACCTTAAAACTCAAATGCGACGTGTTTGAGCGTTTTTTCTAAATCTACCAGGGGAGTCATAAATAGGGGTGCGACCTTTTCTTTGGACCACACTGTATATTACCGATTAAGCCTAAGCTTTCTTTACTTTATCGTTGGAACACCCTGTACTTAAATGTAGTGTTTGATGGCTGCCTTTAAGTGGCTAATATTCGAAGTCGATTTATTTACCTGAGCATGCAATGTTGCAACTGTACGTTCCAGAAAGTCTCTTTGTCGCAGAAATTCACTTTTGGCTTCGGTGTCTTCCGCTTGACTTACCTCAAAATCTTTGTCAGCGTTGTACTTGTGGTACATTTCCTAAAATGTGGCCTTGCAAATTATCTGCCGATTTTGTGAGTGCTTGCTTGTTACACAGCAAAAAACATGTCTCCCATTTCACGCATTTATGGATGAGCAATCAGTGAATAAAACTCTCTCTCAAACATCTCTTTAAGTGTCATTTGAATAAAAAAAGTTTATGAAAAATTTATGTACAAATGTCTTTTACTGAATTGGATGTTCTCCTACAGCTTCAACCTAAGCGTGTTGTAGAATATCTAATAAGTATTATATTATGTTTTGATAAGCACTTGTTTGTTCACATGAAAGAAGACTCGTTATTGGCCCAAAAAACTGCGAGGAACTGGGCTTCTTGTATGCAACATTTATTTGAATAATTCCTGATTTTATCAATTAGTTTTGGTCGGTTTGCAACTGTGATGCTAATTCGTAAAAAAGTTACAGTTTAGGTGCACGGGTTTATCGGTCAATAGACACCGGCAGAAAACATCAATTCTCATAATTTATTAATTAGTTTAATAGGTATAGTAAAAATCACATTAAAAAAATATTTTAAATGTAATAAAAAAATGATAATATTTTTTAATATTGTTAAGGTTTACTGAGCTTTTTGAAACTTGAACACTCAAGCAAAGCGAATCAAGGAGGATAGATGTAGGCAGTCCACCGTACAAATGAGTCTGTTCTTCATAACCTTCATAAACATTTGTCAAATGCCGAGCAAAAGAAGGGAGGCACCAAAACCAGACCCGGGACAGGAGTTGGTATAGTCGAAAGAGGAACAGTTCGGAAAATAATAATTAAAACCCTTGGTATTCTCACTACTGATATCCAAGCGAACAAAGTAGCAATCTCAACTTGCGCCCAAAAATGAGAGAAAGAGAGCCAACGGAGTAGCCAAGTAGACATACTAGTATCGAAAGTAAGAATAAAACCACAATCAAAGTTCTGAAGTCGTGCAATGCCGGCTAGACTGTGTAGAAGTAGTTAGTTTTCTAGGGCCTGGACGGGAACTTAGACTAGACAAGACTCACTTGGGTGGTGACTAAACCAAGCAGGAGTAGGTACAAGAAACAACGCCGCTGCGGTACATGCCAAGACAGAGGCTGAGCAATCAGGGCTGACCAAGAGCCGGCTTGTGGTATATTTCAAGGTGAGATCCGGCGTTAGACTGTTCTGCTCAATACACAAAACATTTCTGTCTAATCTGGGTCTAATGGGTCTGTATAATCAATAGTGTAGACACGTAGTAGTGTCTAGCCTGTAGAGGATATAATTTAGATTAAACATTTCTACACAAAATATACTGGTCAAGAAGAGGTCGTGGAGTTGTTCCAAGGGGTCATGGGTACCTCTTTCAAAAAGCTGCTCGAATTCGTTGAATACACAAAGGCACTGAAGGATAAAGACACGATAATATGACGACACGGTAATAGGATAGAAATCACCGTAGTGTTTCGAAATATTCAACCTCCGCGTTGAGAGAAACACTTTAGTGGATAAACAGCTAGGCTGCATTGCCATCTAACTCAGAGTGAAATACTATTGGGTCTGGACGATGCCTACGAGAAAGTTTCTCAAACCATATCGATAGACAAATGTTCACCAAAACTTTAAATTGCCACGTAGTACTAAATGATGCAAAACATGTCAAATATGGTTTTTGTAAAAAATTTCGAACTAAGATAAAATTCCGCTCTCTAATATGAACGAGATAAATTTTTAATACAGAGAGGCAGATATCATGGGTTCCGTAATAAATAATGTGAGTTTACAATTTTAGCTCTGTCTACATGTATGTTGCGTGAATTGAGTAGCTCAGGTTGAGACTCAGAAATGAACAGGGTTCTGAGGTGAAGCTAACAACCTACCTTGGGTAAAGAACCAAAAAAGGCTCACAGAACAAAGAGAGTAGTCTCGAATAGATCAGAAGAAACTTAAGACGACTCGTCAAGAATAAAAAAACGACGAATTTGGAAACGAGATAAGCTACGAGTAGCCACCTGGAATGTCACATCACTAATGAATAAAGACCAGGAAATAATAATAGAGCTAAAGAATCATGATATAGATACATGTGCTTTGTCCGAGACGAAAAAGAAGAGCAAGGAAATATACAATTTGCAGAGCATATACTGGTTTACAGCGTAAGACCAAAAGATGACAGAGCGGCTTTAGAAGTGGGTGTGTTAGTGCACGAGAAGTACCAGCAAAACATATTAGATATCTGCTATGTTAGTTACACATTACTGCTTACTACGATTAAGTTTACGAAGGCAACCAAGCCAAATACTATAAGTGTATACTCTGATACCACTAAACCCCGAAAAGAGGGAGATTAGTTTTACGACGAGTTCCGAGAAAAATCTTGGCAGGATAGCGAAAGCAGAGAAAGTTGTGATTTTGAGAGATATTAAAGCAAGGATTGGTGACGAAGAACTGCAAAATAATTAAAAAGCAATATGTAAACATCGTGATCTCTGGCTAGAAAACGAAGTATCTGACAATGTGAAGGTAACCAAGATAGTGTGAGATATCGGACTACAATAAAAGTGTGTGTAGCACATAWCATGTTTTTCAAATACCTAGGCGTTAATATCACAAATAATAGAAACCTTAGCGAAGAATTCCGAACACAAACAACAGCAGCAGCCAAGGTATCATRATATATCCGGAACATAATATGGGCAAATAAATACATCAATATCAAATATATGCCAAGGCTTAAAGTAGCAACAACGCTACACATAGAAACTGATAATGGTGGAAAACACCTAAACGTATTTTAATTGATAAATAGACAATAAATGACTGAAGCCCAGGAATTGATTTTGATTTGGAATTGAAACACAGTCAGGAAAGTATGTACAATATATCAATAAGGCAAATCGCAAATTTACAAGACGTGTGTAAGACCTATTATGACCTACACCACAGAAACACGAGTAGAAACAGCCGCTACTAAACAACTGCTAAGAACAACCAAAATGCAGACGCTAAGACCAATTACGGGCAAAACGCTAAGAGACAGAATAAGAAGCACCGATATCAGAGCCCAATGTAACATTCCATATTTCCATTGTGAGATGGTCCAGAATAAGAAGACGAGCATCGAGAGACCACGTCGACAGAATGTATGATAATCGACTACCGAAAATTGCAAAAAAGGAGGAACCAATCAACCGTAAACCTGCAGGAAAACTCACAAAATGATGGTTCGAAAGCTGGACATTGAAGTCATAACTTAGGCTACAGCTTAAAAAAAAAACAAGACATTGTCTTAAAATAAGAAGAGACGTTTACAATTAAGAATTTTTTGTCACTAAGAATCTTCCATGCATTTAGTGCTCGCTTTGATAAAATCGGGGGCAAATTTTTGTATTTAGTAACTCACATCCAATTTGCAATTAAAATTTACTTACTCGGACTACTTTTTGCAGCATTGGCACATTTTGAATAAATCCACTGGCATGGTGTATGTCCATTCTGAGAGCTTGGAGGGCTTTTTTCATTATTCTGTTTCGTTCGACCTCTTTTCGAACTTCATTAACAGAAGCAGCCAATTTGGCCCGCCCTTCTGCTAATTGGGTGTCTAAATTTAATATTACCTTTTGCAAGTTTTCCAACTCTCGCACCATCTCGTTAATTTGAGTTGTTTGTT